GACAGAACACAGTGTCTTAGGCTGGTCTCGCAGCTGCGGGTTCATTTTAATGAGTTAACGATTGCTCCCAGGGCCCTGTGCTCCCCTGAGGGGTGGGTGAGAGGTTTGGAGACTCTCACCCTTTGTCTTTCCTCCTTCTTCTCCCTTATCTAGTGTCTCCTTCCCCTCCCCCACCATCTGGACACATCCTTCCAGTCTCCTTCATTTCTTCCCCGCCTTTTTTTTTTTTTTTTTTACCTGTAGGTCATTGATTGTCCCTGTCTTCCTCCGCCCTACCCTACCTCCGTTCTCTCGTCTCTAACTTCTCACGTTCTCACAGTCCTGTGAATTCTTGGCTTTGCGCAGTCATTGGGACTTTTATCTTCCCGCCTTTTAAAATACAGCGAATATTGTTCCTGAGCTTTTTGCTGTTCTTCCTCTCACCACCTTGCTTTCGGAAGGACCACTTTTCCCCTTTCCTCTTTTGGCTCTCTTTGCCCCCGCCTCCCTGTGGGGAGTCAGGGTGTTTTGCATATGGAAGGAGGCTCCGGGTAAATCTGCTGGCTTTCCTGAACTGCCTCTCCAAGCGCCCCTTGCTTTCACGTTTCCTGCGGCAGTGAACTGTCTAGGAACAGCCTGCAGCCCCCCTTCCTTTCTATGGAGAACTTAGTTGTCGGGGAAACCAAGCCTTGTGGCAACAACAACAAAAAGCCAAAACTTTTTTTTTTTTTTTTTTTTTTTTTTTTTTTTTTTGGGCAAGAGAAAAAGCCTTTAAATTCTCTGGGACTGAGTAGAGGGACTGAAGTCAGTTTTTGAGTCGCTCTGGGCATGGAAATGACACTTTTTTGACCATCGCGGGTAGAAGGAAGGGTTGCAGTATAGTTTCAAATTGACCTGTGGGCTCAGTGGTTACCGCGGTGCCCAAGAGACTTCCAGAGATCCAGGAAGAGGAGAGGTGGGAGAGGAAGGCGGCTGGTTCTGAGATGGTGCTATCAGTATTGTCGTTTGCAGGCAGCTGGTGTTGCTTAGGAAGCTGGCCTTTGATTTTTTTTTTTAGGCAAAATAAATGAGTAATTTTTTTTTTCATTTGAATAGTTATATTTTTAAAATTTTTGTTACATTTACTTAATGCATGTGGCACCGTGTGCGCCTGTACGGATTGTTTGTGCACAGTGTGTGTGTGTGTGTGTGTGTGTGTGTGTGTGTGTGTGTGCGTGCCCTGTGTATGCTGGCGCTTGTGGAGGTAAGAGGACAGCCTGTAAGAGTTGTGTGTTCCGGGAATCAAATCAAGGTCTCAGCCTTGCCTTCCAGAGACTTTATTCTGCTGAGCTATCCTTGTTACCCTGATTTTTCTCAAAATTGCAAAGCAAAAATTTAAGATTTCTTAGAAAAAAATTCATAATATCCACATCACATTGAGGCAACGTTTCAGTCCTATCTGTTCACTATTTAGGGAAGATAAAATTAAGCCGTGGTGGCACCTGAGTGAGGCTTCAGGAAGAAAAGGCGTTTTAAGTTCTAGGCCCCTTTTGCCACTTAACAAGACCCTGCCTTTTGTGGGGAGTGCTGGTGTGAATGACTCAGTGGCCGAGCTCCACACCCCCAACATGTTTCACACCTCAGAGATGTTTCTCTCCCCCCCCCCCCAAGGGTTTCTCTGTGTAGCTCTGGCTGTCCTAGAACTCAATCCTTAGACCAGGCTGGTCTAGGACTCAGATCCACAGCCTCTGCTGGGGTTAAATGTATGTGCCAACTCCCAACTGGGACTGAGTAGAGGGACTGAAGTCAGTTTTTGAGTCGCTCTGGGCATGGAAATGACACTTTTTTGACCATTGCGGGTAGAAGGAAGGGTTGCAGTATAATTTCAAATTGACCTATGGGCTCAGTGGTTACCGTGGTGCCCAAGAGACTTCCAGAGATCCAGGAAGAGGAGAGGTGGGAGAGTTTTATTTTGATTTTCCTCCCAGGACAATTTTTAGGAACTCATAGAATGGTGTCAATTAATTTCACATGGCCCGCCCTCCTGGGCTCTGCTGTGTATGTTTATTAATAGGATCACCAGGTGTATTTTCTTAGACAATGCTATTGCGTTGAGATACCTGGATACATTCAGATACATTCTAGGTTAGAATGAAACATTCGGAAATACGGGAGATTATTATTATTTTGTTGCTTGTTTGTTTTTGGTGATGTTGAGCTTCAGGCACGATAGGAAAGCTCTACCGCTGAACTGTAGCTCCAGCCCTGTTTCCGTTCATTGTGAGACAAAGGGTCTCAGTTGGACAGGCTGACTTGGAACTCACTGTGGGTTGTGAATTTTCTATTCTCCTGCCTCAGCATCTCGAGTATTTGGGATGACAGGCCTGTACTGCCTAGCTTGAATGAAACTCAGTTGAAAAAGAAGAAGAAGAAGAAGAAGAAGAAGAAGAAGAAGAAGAAGAAGAAGAAGAAGAAAAAAAAAAAAAAAGACTAGCTCAGGAAAGTTTCCACCCTTAAACATACAAGTAGCTAAAGACAACTTTGAACTTGACCCTCCAGTATCCACCTTAAAAGTAATGGGATTGTTGGCATATGCCACCCACCATGGCACTTTCGTTTATTGGTTTGTATTGTCTGGGAAAGGGTTGCTTGCTCTTGAGTCTGGTCTGCATCCAATGCTGTGTAGGACGACCTTGAGCCTTCTGCCTCCACTTCCTTGGTGCTTGATTACAGACCTCTACGACATCTGGCTTGTCCTGTTTTGTTTGTTTTGAGACAGTCCTGGCTATCTTGGAACTCACTTTGTAGTCCAAGCTTGCTTGGAAGTCGTCATTCTTCTTGTCTGTGCCTCTGGAGCACTGGGTTTAAAGGTGTGTGCCACCCTCTCCTGCTGGGCTTCTAATAATGTCTTTAAGTTTGTTTGTTTGTTTGTTTGTTTCAAAACAGCTGTACCGGAATGGCCTCAGGTCCTGCCTTTGTCTCCCAAGTGCTGGGATTAAAGACTGTGACACCACATTTGTTTATAAAATTAAAGATTAAATATTAATTTTAGGGCATTTTTGATAAGCCATATTATAGACCTGTTTAATATGAGCTACATTATCTCCTTTTTTTTTTCTTCGCCCATAGTTTTCTGAAAGAATCCATGTCTTAGAGTCACCTATGACAAAAGGCTACGTTGCATCCATAACCGCATGGTGACAAGGTTCAAGGGGCCCATATTTTCTTCTCATTATCTCACTGCCTGCTGTTTAGTCCCTGGCTTCTTCCTCTATAGCTGGGATTTCAGGGATCACTGATCTCTTTCAAGACCTCATTAAAAAACAATAACAACAAAATCTGTTCAATTATGAAAAGACCTTATCTTTAAATACACCTTCTCATTTCTTTGGCATTTCTGTTTTTTGTTTTGTTTTTTAATCTCTGTTTTTTGGGTGCTAAATCATGAGTACTTACCTACACTCTGAGTTTCTAAAGCACTTCAATTAAAATAGAGAATTGGCTGTGGTGGCACCGGCTTTTAATCCCAGCACTTTAATCCCAGGCCAGCCTGGTCTACAGAGTGAGTTCCAGGACAGCCAGGGCTACACCGAGAAACCCTGTCTTGAAAAACCAAAGAGAGAGAGAGAGAATTGGGGGCTGGAGAGTTGGCTCCGGGGTTAAGAGCTCTTCCAGAAGACCTGGGTTCAATTCCTAGCATCCTCATGGCAGCTTTACAACTGTCTGTAACTCCAGTTCCTCACACAGATGTACATAAAGGCAAAATACGAATGCACATAAAATAAAAATAAATTATTTTAAAAAGTAGAATTGACAGATTAATCTTTAAACTTTCAAAAGCAGATCCCAGGACACACTCTGCTTTATCCAGGTTACTGGCTCACATACATGAATTTTAATTTTTTTCCCAGTACCTAGATTATATGCTTCTATGTGTTTTAGTCCTGCCATCTTGATGGAAGATAAAAAGCATACGTTGACACTGTTAGATTTGTAGGGATCGGAATGTCGTTTCATAATGAAAACAGTTGTTAAAATAATTCGTGGCTTTTTGAGGCTGGTTCTCACACTGCATCTGAGGATGTTGGGTGTCCAATCGCTGGTGTTCTCAGGATGGAAGTGGCACAGCTCTGGAGCTGGAGTTACAGCGCCCTCTACGTGAGTGCTATGGAAAGACAGGTTGCCTGCAAGACTCCCTGTGTGTGGTCTGTTTTCTTCTTTCTTTTCTTTTTTTTTCTGTTGTTGTTTCTTGTTTTTTGAGACAGGGTTTGTCTGTGCACCCCTGGCTGTCCTGGAACTGGATCTGTAAATCAGGCTGGCCTTGCACTCAGAGATCCACCTGTCTCTCTCCTGAGTGCTGGGATTAAAGGCAGGTGTCACTACTGCCCTGCTAAAATTTTTTACTTTTATGTGTAGGGGTGTTCGCCTATATATATGTCTGTGCACCAAGTATATACCTGGTGCCCAAAGAGGCCAGAGGAAGGAAGTCAGGGTTGTGGGCTGCCATGCAGGTGCTGAGAAATGAGCCCAGGTCCTCTGGAAGAGTTGCCAGTGCTAGTGCTCTTAATTTCATGCCATCGCTCCAGTGCTTCCCCTCCCCTCTTTTTAAAGACATGTGGCCCAGCCTGACCTCAAATTCACTGTGTAGCTCTGACCATCTACCTCAAAATCTGGACTTGCCAGCGAGAGCCACTGTGACCAGTTTTGTTTGTTTGTTTGTGAGAATCTCACACTGCAGTCCAGAAATATAAATCTGAGTCATTCTGCTGAATTAAAAAAAACAAAACAAAACAAAAAAACCAACTATCTGCATATTTTTCCTTTGGCAGTAAACATTCTCATTTTCCTAGTTACTAATTTATTAGCAAATATCTTTCTAGTAGAGTACAAAGAACTAATAATTTGTTGTTGTTGTTATTTTAGACCAAATCCTCAGGTGAGCAAGTGTGGCAACATCACCAGATTCTCCTCAGAAAGAAGATTTTGCAAAGGACCAATGACTCTGTGTCCTGCATCCTTTCATCTTTTCCTACTCTGCAGCCATGTCTCGGTCCTGCCATGCAAAGCCTTCCAAATCAGTCAAGACAAAGCTACACAAAAAGAAAAGCATCCCGACAAAGAAGAAGACAGCAAAGCAGGCTGCCAAACATGGGGCATCAGGGAAGGCGGTGAACCCTGGAAAACTGAAGAAACTAATTCAGGGAAGAGATGCTAAGAAACAAACAGAGGACAAAAGCTCCAAGCCGACCCCAAGTCTTCTGACAAGAGCTGGAGCTGCCAGAATGAATCAGGATCCAACCCAAGTCCTTTTTCAGAATCCAGAGTCCTTAACTTGCAACGGGTTCACAATGGCTCTCCGGAGGACCTCTCTTAGCTGGAGACTCTCCCAGCGCTCGGCAGTCACACCCAAACCTAAGAAAGCGCCGCCTTCAAAGAGTTTTGGGAAGCAGCAGTGTAGTCATAATACCCAGGAAGACACCGGGGTGAAGCACTCAGAAAACGATCCGGTCCCCAGCCAAGATGCCCTCACGTCCCCAGACACGGAGAAGCTAATTGGTGAACAGAACACGTGTTTAGCTGAAGGTGAGAGCCAAGAGATAACCCAGTCTTCGCCTCAGAGGGTAGAAGATGCCCAAAGCTGTCCCTCCACATACGGGAACCCTGCAGCAGGGGCCCCATGCGGGCCACCGGAAGGCGCATGCTGTAATGGACCACTCTCTTATCCGACATCCGATGGTGTGAGCATTGCCCCTCAGGAGTGTGCTCCTTTGCCCCAAACGTCAGCTCCCGAAGTCACCTCTCAGAACACTAGCAATCAGTTAGAAGACTTGGGGTCCCAAGTAGAGTGTCTGCAGCTATCTGATCCTTCTCTGAATCCTATGGGACGTGAACGTAACAGCTTCCCTCCCTCCAGTTTTAAGATTGTTCCTGAACTGGACCTTAATACCTGCATGTCTCTTGATGGCTCTATATATCCCACAGCGCTGATAAAATTCCTTTTGGCAGGCTCACAGTCAGATGTCCTTGACACTAAACCCCAAGAAGAAACCCTCAAAACTACCCCAGATCAAGTGGGATGCCACCCAGATCAGGGTCTGGATGCCACTTCTGTCCTAGGACCAACTTTCAGTACTCACCCGCATCAGTGGGGATTTCCTGGTGCTAACCTCGTTCACTGTGAGGCCCTGGGCAAGGGCTCAGACTCACCAGAGACTCTTGGTGCTATTCCTATGCTAAACCAACAAGGAACTGTGGGTGTGGGCATGGGTGCGTCCCCGTACCTGCCTATCTTCCTTCCTGCAAACACAATGGCTACCTACAGCGGTGCTCCTCCCGGGCCTGAGCCCCACAGCTCTGCCTCCTGTGGGCTCGAGGTCCAAGGTGCTATACCGATTTTAACTTTGGGCTCAGGACACACATCCCAACCCCCACCCATCTCCGAGTCAAGTTCAATACCTCTGGTAATAGCTGCAAACAGTATTCAGGATGAGAAGCAGTTGTGTGCAAGCCGGCTTCCAGCTAGCACGCAAGGGTTTACGATCGCCCCCGAGAACGGACTCCAGCTGGTTCCGCTGGATCTTACCCAGTGCCCTCCGTCTGCTCCCAGCAAATTGGAAGGAGTGATTTCTCCGGTCAGCGTGACCGGCTCAGCTGATGTCAAAACCCCCGGGATGTCTGTGCCAGTTTCAGGGGCCGGTCCCTCGCCTCACCCGTGTAAATCTACGCCGCCAACTGTGGAGAAGAAGAAACGCAAGCCGTGTGGGGTCTGTGGGCCCTGCCAGCAGAAAGCCAACTGCGGCGAATGTACCTACTGCAAGAACAGAAAGAACAGCCACCAGATCTGCAAGAAGAGGAAATGCGAGGTGCTCAAAAAGAAGCCAGATGCCACCTCACAGGTCCAGGTGAGGAAGCAGCCCGGGGCCGGGAGTGTCTCCGGGTCTCGGCGCAGGGTCAGCCGCCAGCCCCGACCCCACAACACTTGTAAAACGCAGATCTCGCTATCAGAACTTGAGGATGATGTCGTGTGGTGGAGTCATGGCGGGGGGGATTGAATCTGGGGGTCCTCCCTACGCTAAGCATGCTCTCTACCCTTACTCCCTTCCTCAGCTTTTATCTTCACCTCCTGAGATCTGTAGTTTAGGTTAGACCTAGCTAGCCAAGGATTACCCTGCCCTCTACTCCTGCGTTGAGTGGCACAGGGCTGCCGGCGACTCCTGAGACGGTGAAGTTCTGAGCACACCCTCATGCATTTGGAACACAGGGGCTCATGAAAACGCACAAATAAAAGTGATTTTTTTTTTTTTTTCACTGAAGTAAGGGTTAGTGCGAAAAGGTGTGCGCTATGTCTCCAGGTCTGATAACCCGAGCTTGAGCCTTGGGACCTGCATGGTGGAAGGAAAAAAAATCAACTCTTGAAACTTCTCCACTGCCTCCACAACGCGCATGTCAGGCATGAGCCCGTGCATGATTAAGAGTTACTGTGAATTTGAGGCCGCCACAGTGAGCCCCCTACTTCAGAAAAGATTATGAACTTTTTAAAAAAAAGACTTATTTATTTATTATTTATACAGTATTCTGCCTGCATGTATTCCTGCAGACCAGTAGAGGGCACCAGATCTCATTATAGATGGTTGCGAGCCACCATGTGTTTCCTGGGAATTGAACTCAGAACCTTTGGAAGAACAGCCAGTGCTCTTAACCTCTGAGCCACCTCTCCAGCCCGGTGAACTTTTTTAAAACTTATTTTTATGTACATCGGTGTTTTGCATACATGTATGTCTGAATGAGGCTGTCAGATCCCCTGAAACAGAAGTTACAGACAGCTGTGAGCTGCCATGTGGGTGCTGGGAATTGAACCCTGGACCTCTGGAAGAGCAGCCTGTGCTTTTAATCACTGAACCACTTCCCATCCCCAAGGTTGTGAACTTTTAACCACATTAGCCTTTTAACTTCTAGACTTAAATTGCCAGTCCACAAACGCTGCCTTCCTCTTTGAGATTTTGATAAAGCGTTAGATCATTCAGACGATCTTGTGTTGATGGGTATTTAAAGGTTTTCTCCCCAGATGGATACTTAATGACCCTGGCACATGCTTTAACCCTAGCACTCAGATGCTTAGGCAGGAGGATTGCTTTGTGTTTGAGGCCAACCTATGTTTATAGCATGATCATTTTTGAAAATAACAAAAATGGGGAGGGGGGGGGTCAGGGAAGATCATTTTTTAAAAAAAATTTTGGAGACAGATTCACACTGTTTAGACCAGACGGTCCTACAATCAACAGAGATCTGTCTCCTGAGTGCTGGGATCTCCCTTAAACAGCCAGCAGTACTTATTCAAACTAGTTCTCTCTCTCTCTCTCTCTCTCTCTCTCTCTCACACACACACACACACACACTCTTCAGTTACAAATAGTTCACGGATACATCTCTAACACAATACTCGCTGGGCCATCTCCCTTGTATGCTAGTTTTTCAAATGCTACTTATTTGGGGGTTTCTTAAAGCCTATACTTCTCTTCCAACCCCCCAACCCCAGGTAGGAGAAAAAGTTGGAAGGGAAAGGAGACATAGACCTGTTTACTTCTTCCGGCTGGGGAGAGTCGTAGGATTCTTTCGGGGGCAGTACCAGTCTCAGGAGGTCCAGAAGTCCAGGTAACCAGCAAAGGAAAGCGGCAAGCAGTCCTCCACCTGTTGCCGCTGCCTCTTCTTCCTCTGGGCTGTCATATTTATACCCCTCAGAGTCCTCAGACTTCAACTAACTCCAGCTGGCAAAGACCACGGCCCTGCACGAGGCGATTATCAGCCGTGGACAAACTAAAACGCTTGGGATTATAACCAGAAACAAAACAAAACATGTTTACACAACATAACTGAGTTAAAGAAATCAAAAGTTCCGTTATACAAATGCACTTCATCAAAAGTGCTGGTTAATAAGCAAGAACCATGCACAATTGTTGTCTTTCTCAAACCCCTTCCCTGTTGGCTCAACAGTTTGCTTTCCATGTGATGATCGGAAATATAAAGCCAGCTTGCTGTCTCTGCTGTCTGCTTCATCTACGTCCTATTGCATTACGAGGTCTGCGTGCCTGCTTCTCCATTCTTTCGGCCACAGCTCTATGTGAAGCCCTTATTTGTTGCTGAATTTCAGTGTTCAATCTGCTATCAAGCTGTGGTTTGTTTGTTTTTTTGTTTTTATCTTTTTTGCCTTCACGTGCTATATACCCCAGATTTATTCACAAAGAAGCCACTAGCAGAAGGGTTGGAATGTTAAATAACCCCTCTTCTTAGCGAATCCTATATAAACACACAGATGTTTGTGGTATAAAATATGAACAGCTTGGTGTGGTGGCTCATGCTTTTAGTCCCAGCATGTGGGAGGCAGAGGCAGGCGGATCTCTGAGTTCAAGGCAAACCTTGTCTACATGCGTTCCAGGACAGCAAGGGCTACACAGGGAAGCCCTGTCTCATAGAACAAGACCACTATCAGCAACAACCAAAAACAAAACAAAAACAAACCTTTTAAGATTTTATAGGTTTTTGTTTTTGTTTTTCCCCTTTGAGACAAGGTTTCTCCATGTAGTCTTGGCTTTCCTGAACTCCCTTTGTAGAGCAGGCTGGCCTTGAACTCACAGCAGCAATCTTCTGCCTCTGCCTCGCTAAGTGCTAGCCTTAAAGGCTACCACCATCCGGCTGAGGCTTCAGTTTGCTAGCAACTAATATAAGATATTCAAGAGGGTGGCTGAGTCGCCTTCCATTTGCATGTATGCTCCCCTCTGACTCTGCTCTCCTTTGAGAAAGGGTCTCATATCCTAGGCTGTCCCCCTAACTAGCCAAGAATGATATCTCGGGGAGGACTGTTTGGCTTAAAGTCCATCAGTAGGAGAAGCCAGGGCAGGAAGGAAGAAGAAAGCACCGAGTGACACTAACCGGCTTGCTCTTCATGGGCTGCACAGCCTTCATTAACCTGTAGAATCCTCCAGCCATTGTATTTTCTAATGTGATATTCTGTTGGTATTGTATGCAGTCTTTACTGCTCCAGATCCCAAGTCAGCTGTTTATCGAAAGGGAGTTGATTTGTTTTAGTGGAGAACTGCAGCTAGGAACCATTACCTTGATGATAAAATATTATTGCAATCTTAGAAAGTTGATATGGGAGCCAAGGACACAGCTCAGCAGGTTACCTCCAAGTCTGATGATTTGAGCGCTATCCCTGGGACCCAGTTGGTAGAGCCAAGGTTCTCTGACCTCCACGTTTGAACCAAGATTTTCAAGCCAGCCTACCCATAAATAAATGTAATAAATTTCAATAAGTTACTGCTTGGTGTTTTGAGACAATGGTTAATGTAAATCCAGCTGGCCTCAAACTTACTATGTAGCTAAGACTGGCCTGGGATTTCCGATCCTCCTGCCTCCATTCCCCAAGTGCTGGGGTAGGCCATGCCCCTTTTGCATTGTTTTCTGAGACAATATATCATTATGCTGCATAGCTTGGCATTTCTCTTGCCTCAAGACCTCTCCAGGTGTGGCGAGCACAGTTTTAATGCCAGCACTCCTGAGGCAGAGGCAGTGCTAGGGCAGAACACGGTTCCACAGAGAAACCTGTCCGGAAAAACAAAACAAAAACAACAAGAACAAGAATAAAAACAGAGGTATGGGGCCAGGAGCCTGGGTAACAGGCTGTAGTAATGGGGTTCCTCCAGGGCCTTCTTCAGCTCCTGCTCTGGCTTCCTTTTATAACGGGCTGTGATTGGACGGGGCGAGCCAAATAAACCCTCTCCTCCCCTAAGCTGGCTTTGGTCAGCATTTTATCATAGCAATAAGAAGCAAATAGGCTACTTCCCAAAATGTTAAAATGTTATGCATGGTCAAGCAGCGGCATTCTGGGTTATATGGTAAAGTGCCATACTGATTACAGCACCATCTCTGTGGTTTTGGTTTGTTTGCTTGCTTGCTTTTTTGTTGTTTGTGTTTTGAGACAGGGTCTCACTGTGTAACCTTGTCTGGTGTGGAACTCACAGATCCACCTGCCTCTGCCTTCCGTATGCTTGAATTAAAGGCGTGTGCTACCAAGCCTCAGTGATCATTACTTTTAGACAAGCCCTTGCTGTAGCTTCAGGCTCTTTTGGAATCTGCTACATAGCCCAAACCAGTCTCAAAGTGACATATGCTCTTGCCCCAGTCTGTTGAATATGGGAAGTACAGGCACAAGGCAACATGCCTGCCCAGAAATGTCATTCTGATGGCCCAGATCAGATGCTTTTAGTATGGTATGGCCATGCATCAGAAATTTCAGAAGTTTGATTCTCACTTTATTTCACCTTTTGTGATAGGATTTGGGAGTGAATGGCGCATCACTTGCCCAGTTTATTTAGTGTATATGATGTAGAAGTTTCTAAGATAGATGAGTTTTAGCTTGCCTCAAGTTTGAGCCCAGCCCAAGATAGAAAGGGATCGGGCACGGTTGCCCATTCTATCTTGTAGGCGCTGTTTTTTAAACTATTTGGAGTTCCTAAAGCCTCTACCTCCCTTCCAACCCCCCAATTCCAGGTAGGAGAGAAAGGTTAGAAGGGAAAGGAGATGTAGTCCTCTTTAGACTTAGTTCCGGTCATTGGGTTCTTTGGGAAAATACCAGTTTCAGGGTCAGGATACCCCGCAGTCCAGGTAACCAGCAACCTCCTTTCTCCATCCATGTCCTCAAAGCCTTCTCTCTGGCCAACCGTCTCCTTGAAGCCCTTAAGCCTTCTCTCTCTGGGCTTGTGTTTTACTAACTGCAGCTGGCAAAAACCACGCCCCTCTTCATGCAGCATGAGGCAATTATCAGCTGTGGACAAACTAAGGCAGTCCCATATCCCACACTTTGGATTAAAACAATAACCTGCGTACATAACATAACTGAATTTTT